AAAAAACAGTTTTTTGCCACAGGAATCCAATAAATTGGATAAAATACTCCCCTTATAGATCACGTGACTTACTTTTTGAGACAAGTATCAATAAAATATCTTAATTACTTCTAGTTTCATGTATTTCTTGGGAAAATACGTGAGTTGAGATGTTTAAGCAGGTTTTATATCCTGAGCCTCGTTTCGATGTTAGAGCATGCTCAGTATTCCCCATCAAGTGTGATTTCGAGGTGTCTCCATATCCAGAATTGTTCAGGTCGGCGAACTTAATAATCCTGGCAAGTTTCATACTTTTATCATTAATTTGAACAATTCAACTCTTTTGTGGACGTTAGCAGCCGTACTAGAAAGAATGAAGGAATTAATTAAAAATGTACCTTCTCTTTCTCGAAGTTTTTAATAACTTCATCCTTTACATTGCGCGCTTTTAGAAATTCTTTCACCTGGATGGAAACAAATAAATAAGTTAGCTTGCTAACATCGATAGAGTACAAACACTAAAACTGTGCAACATAAATACCACTAAATACTGCTAAATTATGCTAATTCTATTGTTTTCTATTGTTTAATTAACACTATTTTGTAGTAAATGGTGTAAAGTATTGCACACATTTAATGTTTGTACTCTACGGCAACACAAATGTCAAAGCCGGCACAACGGYGGCGCCTACCTGTCGCGGGAGGCGCGAGAATGCGACGAAGAACAAACCACTACTATCAAAGATATTTCCCGATTTCACAAGGATTTCATTTTAATTAGGCATTTGAAGCTGGGACACTCTAACCGTGAGCGCTTAGACTAGTGTTCCAGTCGTACTACATTTCTATAGCAAGTGTCATGGGCCGTGTATTCGATTGGAATCGCCTGAATCTAATAAAATCAATATGTAAAGATCGAATGATTTGAATTCGTGTTTCCAGTATGACCACTGAAAGTAAGCATATTTGTTTKCACTTTCAAGGAGATTACCTTATCAACTCCGTGGGAACCTCTCCCCGCGTCCGCCATGCTGAAATGTGTCCCTTAATTGCTAATGATACATGTGATTAAGGGGGTTAAGGGTTTAAGGATTTAAAAGACCAACAATGTTTAAGGGATAAGAATATCCTACAGTACTGTCCCACACGTAAGACGAACAGAGGGAGGAAYCCAACAATTACTGGTTGTGCTGTTAATGCGAAATAGTTTAAGTATGTAATGTTTTCTTTAGTACGTTTTGTTGTGTCTCTTGAGAATTGTAAATGTCTTAAAGTCTCTTGTTTTTGCATATTCGTTCTCTTTCATCRTTTACCGTCTAGAGTTTAGCATATTGTTTTGTAAGTATTATTTCGTTTTTTCTTCTTTCGTTTATAGATTTATAGACTGGACCATCGATGTAATTTTTGTCTTAATATATCTTCATGTATAGGAACCAGTGTAACGTAACCGTAACCGTAAATAAATGGAAACCTGAGTTCGAAACTATGCCTCATGTCAACTTAACGTAAACCGCCAGAACAGTGCTATGGAAGAGAAAAAGGATAAACGATTCTCAAAGTTCAAC